AGTGTCAGTGTTTTTAGCGCAACAAGTTTCAATAACTGCAATGTAGTGGTTACGGAGTGGACACAGATGCAACAAAATTTCCCTTTTTTTTTTGTTTAAGTGGGGTGACATTATGAATTGCTGTTGTCATCCAAACCTGTTCTGATTTGATTTTGAAAACAGCATTTATTCTGGGTTTCTTTTAACATAGAAAAGAGTAAAGAAGAAAAAAATGGTTCATTGTCACATTCTTAGAGAACCCGTTCTTGACATTTATAAATAAAAGTAGTATATTTCCATGACTTAAAATTTCTATCACTACAGATAGGAACAAAATGTAAATCAAATGCTTGCTTGGTTTTATTTGTTATGAAATTTCTGATTCTAATCTATTTGGGGACAGCTCCAAATATGTCCCTAAGAAGACACAAGACGTAATAAAAGAACACTTGTCAAGAGAAACCTAGAAAATGACAAAGGTGATAACACACAACATAATGCTCCTTGTAAAAATCACCTCTGGACGTTGAGCGAAGATGGCAGAGCTCCTGAACACTAAAAAGCAGTGCTCTGTTAGGAAGTCAGAAACAGCTTTTGGTGGGCATGTTTGAAGTTATCCTGAAGACTGCAAAGAAACGCTTCATCCTGCTTTTCAGGATTGGTGGATAAGTTATGAACAAGGAATCAGCAACTTGCTTCTCTCAGACCAGGCATGCGTGTGTAAAAAGTAAACCACAGAGATTAGGGGTCAGCTGACCATACCAAAGTAAACTAAATGCGTAATTTTTATGATCAGTTTCCTTGAGCAATTTTATAACACTTTTATAAAAATGTTAATAGCTTTGAGTGATCGCTAAGATATCCTTCTGGTAATGGGTTTTAATGATATATATTATACTGGCCAGACTTTCATATTCTGACATGTATGCGACAAATCGATACAAGGATCCACACCTCCCCACTGTTGAGTGGTAAATGATAATGACATCGTGTGTGTCTTGACTACTCATTTAAAGGAGATCACAATATATTTCATATCTGGAAACATTTCTTTCCACAGGCCATGAAAGTGACAACGCCTTCGAAATCTCTGAAATCACCGTGGGATTTTGACTTTTTTATTTATAATGGTGTTACAGACAAGACAGCCCCAGACTTCTTAGCATTCAAGAAACGTTTTATCTCAGCTTGGGGAAGTATTTTTTCTCTCTTGGAACACATCGAGAAGTTTCTCAGGGACTATGCAATACCAGAGGTCAAAATAAAAGGCAACAGTTTGGTGGCTCTCCTTCCAGAGTTTGAGCTGAAGAATAAACTTACCAGACATGAACTTCTGTCAGTGTTAGAGAACCCAGTTGACGTCCAAATGCTGTTAAATCTTCCAGGGCAGAGGTACAAGGGTCAAGATGGAAAGTCAGTGGCTGCCAGAAAGATCCAAGCCACATGGAAATGCTACACAGCAAGGAAATTCTTCCTCATGTATCGCCAGCAGAAGTGGGCGTCAGGTGTGATCGCCATTGCTTGGCTTTTATATTGCCATAAGACTCGACTGAAGAAGATCCTAAAGGAATCACGGCAGAGACACCTGGAGAATTTCCGCATTCGAGCCAAGGTGCGCAAGGCTGCCAGCTGTTAAGGCAGACCTCTTTTCTGAACATTTCTTGCTTGAGCAATTGCAGTAAGTTGTCTCTTTATCTTCCCTTTCTCTCTCCAACTACCCTCTCCCTCAGTCTTGCTTTTTACGCCTCTCAATGTATGATGCACAAACCCCATATTTGTTTGTGTATCGTATTTTAGCCCTAATCAGGACCTGGCTTTTGCACCTGCAAAATCTGTTGCAATTTTTCTACAGGAGAAAAGATCCCTTCACTTTGACTATGGTAGTTCTGTCAGAAAATCAATGTTTTAACTGCATTACCTTTTCTCCCTATATATACCTTCTGGCACTTTAATTTGCTAGGGAAAAAAAGTCCTCTCTTGTCTACATTGCTGTCACCACTTTGTCAGAAAGTATTTAAGTTTGCAGACAGCCTTTTAATTAGTGCTCACAATTTCATTTGTGTTTGCTTTCTCTTTTTTTCATTCATATTCTGTTAATTAAGTGAGCTGCCTCTAATCTTCCCCTGCCAGTAGCATCATGTAGCCACCTAATTAAATTAATTGGGGAAGATGTTTTAAGTATGTAATTAAATCAATTAATATAATTTATGCCTGGCTTAACTGTACAGTGGAAACACAGCTGAAGTTTGACTAGATGAATCCACTACAGCTTCCTGTCACTGATCAATGCTCTTCTTGATTTTTAGCATCTGGCAGCCAACTGGAATCGCATCAGGACCTCCAGGAGGACTATTATCCATATCCCATCATTAGGTATAACACTTTTGCCTGCAAATCTATCAGCAACCTCTATTACCCACCACATTATGGCTCCTTGATTGAGTTCAAGGAAGGCCCCTTGTTTTATTCAAATTGGTCTCGGCAGGAAAATGTTCTCGACATGATGAGAGTAATAACACAGGGCCCTTGCTCGAAACGGCGTTTAATTTGGGGATTAAGCAAATAAAGTCATTATGTGGGGGCTGCTATTCAGTGGAGAGGTGATTTGCTGTAATTCGCTTTCATCTGTATGAAATGAACTAAAAAGTTGTATTTTTTCCCCCTGAAATAACAGATAATGTTTTTGATCTTCTTTAATGATAGAAGAACGCAGGCTTGTGTGTGTTGTTGCTGTTACGCCAATAAGCCAGGATATTGCTTGTACACTGTTTTTAATCAAATGTGCAGTCAAAATGATAAGCTACATTCTCTGAAATTATTTAGTTCTAATTACGAGCAGATGGGATGCTTTATTTGCACCTAGGGCGCCTGAGCAAAAGGAAATGCTGTGTGAACAAGAATAATTAAGAAGTTGAATAGTGTTTTTTGCGCTTAAATAATCTGCAGTTTCATGTTAATTAGCACTAATGTAATTATTTAATTACATTTATGAATTGGGGAACTTAAAAGCTGTTGGCTGAAACACACTGGTAAAATAGGTGTGCCAAAATGACATTGGGAATTTGAGAAATTTGCATTGGAAGTTCTTTTAAAAGATGAACTACTGTCAACACGTTTGGGATTTGTTTGCCTATTTATTTTGTTTTGTTTCTACCTAGTGTGTTAAATTTTCTTGGTGAGGCCAGATTTCGTAGGCTGACTTGGTAGAGTTTTGAGAAACAGCAAAACCCATTGAATCTCCGTATGACATATTAGCTCTTTGTTAAAGCCTTGTAAGTAGAGCAATGCATTGATGATCTATTGTAATAGAGTTCTGGACTATAACCTATTTGTGCCCAGGTGTGAGTATACTTGTTTGTATACGTATGTGCAGTATAGAAACAAGGGATTTAAACAGTACTATGAAAAGAAAAAAACATTAAAATTATTATACAAACATAATTGAGATAATTTTTAAATTAGCAAAACATTAATAGTAACAAAATAACGCAAACTTTTCAAGATCCTAGAGTACTTAGATCTGAGTGCTCGAAAGTTAAGAAAATACTTGAGTTACACAGAGCCTTTTAGTTTGGGCTTTCATCATGGTTCACAGAAAAAAAATTGTTTCTTCTTAGGATGTGAGGTAAGACGGATTTAAATTTCATTCTAACTTAGGGTTTGTTTTGGTGGGACTACTTTTGCACACAAAATTAGTTCACACACAGAAATTGCACTTGTAATTGATTGCAACCAGAGAGGCTAATTGCAGACCCAGTTAGCTGACTGAGTCCTTAGAATATAAGAGCTTTTGCTTCTGCAACTAATTGTGGACCTGACCTGATATTATATGGAAACTTCTGTTTTTTCTATTTTATTCAAAACTAGAACCAGAAACAAGGCTCCCACTTTACAATGTTGATAATACAAAGTTGCGATAGGCACACTTTTCATAAACTTCTTCCCTCCTATACTCCCACCTCTGACCCCTCAAAAAACTTCCATGTAGTCAGCACTGCAGACAAGCTTAATACCAAGGAGTCGCCAAAGAAGTAAAAATTTGAAATTAATGGTAAACTAGGTAATAAAAAAAATTTTTAAATGAAAATGTCTTAAAATTTAAAAAGGGCTATAAATTAGAAGAGTATAAAGTAAATGGGAGAATAATCTGGTCAAAGAAACTAGAATTAGAAAGCATTATTTTAAATCTGATATTAAAACTAGTTTTCTTCTAGATTATAAATCCCCAGTTTAAATAAATACATAATAAACAGGAAAGGCTTCTCTACTGCAGTAATTTTTGTTTGTTAGCAACATAATATCCATTTTAAAGATAAAACTGCTTATTATGTATTTTCTAAGAGGTAAGTACAAGCTCAGATATTTTTCTCAATTGAGCACTTAAAAAGACCATTTAGGCCAGGTAGAGTGGCTCACACCTGTAATCCTAACACTTCGAGAGGCTGAGGCTGAAGCATCACTTGAGGCCAGGAGTTTGATACCAGCCTGAGCAACATAGTGAGACCCCTGCTTCTACAAAAAAATTGGCTGGTCATGGTGGCACATGCTTGTAGTCCCAGCTACTTGGGTGGCTGAGGCAGGAGGATTGCTTTAGCCCAGGAGTTTGAGGTTGCAGTAAGCTATGATTACACCACTGCACTCCAGCCTGGGCAACAGAATGAGACTCTGTCTCCAGAAAAAAAAGAAAGAAAAAAAAAAAGACCATTGCACATTTTTTCACAAGAGAATAATACTTGGGCTTTGATCATATATGTGTTTTAGGTTTTATAAAAATGACTTGCAGACATTAAGTTTAAGTAACATCCAACTGTCATCTCCTACTTATTCCATAGACAGAATTCTCAAACTATATCTTTTTTCTTAAAGATATGAGGTACCCATTTCTCATGTACCACATCCCCTGGGAATCCATCAAGAAGGTTTCAGCTAGATACAACAGGCTTCTCTGTCGCATGCACCAGGGACTTACCTATAGAGTTCATAAAAATAGAAGTAGATGAAAGCAAAGCAAATTTTTTCTCTAAACACACTGCAAAAACTTATCTATTCAATCTAGTAATTTCATTTCCAGAGTGGAGATGGATTCACTAGCCAAAATCAGTTGGCAGGATTATCAGGTTCAGGTAGGCATTTAATACAAGTTGCAGCTTGTCCTCTGTTTCTCTTTCCATAGGAAATTCAGTGTAGAATTAGCTCTACAAATAATAACACCATGCTGCCAGCCAATTGGGACTATACTAACTTGTCTGAACCCTTAAAGTGAAAGCTAAGAAGCTGATAAATGCAAATATATTGTAGTTGTGGGCACTTGGTTATTTGTTTATGCAGTTTTGCACACGTGGGAATAATGACGTTGTCCATACGGCGATCACAGAGAGGATAACCTTTCAGTAATGTTTTTGACTACAAAATATTTATACAGTATTTTTAAACCTATGGCTTGGTAATATGAACATTAAGACAATTACACATTGCAGAATAACCTCTTTGAAAGAAGTAGTCATGAAACTTGATTGACGCTTATATATTTCAGGTAGTATTCCTAGATGTAACAAAAATTTTTAGCTATTTTTGACCCACAAGAGAGGTGGAATGCTGTTGACTATCTGAAAAAACTGACTGGCCTTGCAATTTTATAAGATAATAAAACATCATCCTTTCCAGAGTATATTGGCTGATCTCCTATTTGGATCTTGCATATTTTTATCATTTTTATTAATGAAATATAATTATAACAAAATCATCTACAGTGCTTCATAGCAGGAATGGAATATTAGGGCCTATTTTAAGCAAAATCTATCAGTCAAATAAGAACGAACTGCAACAAAGAATCCTAATTCTTCTGGAAAAACCAGATGTCTAAATAAAACCTAGAAACTAATTCCATTTCCAGTTTCTTTGGCCAAGTTATTTCCTGCACTTTTAATTTAACCCCTGTGTTTCTTTATTTCAGCACATCTCTTGATGCTACATATAAACTCAGTGGCATTTTAAAATATATGGACATTAAATGAGATGCGCTGAGTACACGGCTCTGATGCTGTGAGCAGGTATATGAAGCCACTGCCAGCCAATCAAACCCCCAGGGATAAGTTTCCCCTCCCCTTTCTCTTCCTCCTTTGAAGTAAAAATAGGAGATGTATTGAGGTAGGATTTTTTTTTCTTTTCTCCATGTAATCTTTCATGTCATTGCCAATTGATTTAATGACTAAAAGGTATCTATATAGTTGGACTTCATATTTTTTCCCTCTGTGCATTATTTCAGCAAATTATCCTTGGGATTAAAACAATTAGTGGTCCCCAAAATACTTCATTCCATAAAAATTGTGGATCTTGTTATTATGAATCTCATGAAAAACAACATTTTCCAGCTTGTCTGCACAGTCACAAAAGCCTAAAAGGAAAGATAGGAAAAGTTACTTTTGTGTGCAACTCATCATACATTGAACTGAGAAAGTCCCAAATGCTAATAAGACAGTTGCTTCCTGACTCTATTTTCTTCTCCCCAGAGATGAGTACTCAAACTCACGTCCCTTTGTGAACAGGGGCAGGGTTCACAAGAGTGAACCCTGAGTGTTAGATCTGACATCACGTTTTTACTATGTCTCTCAGCACATTGGCACCCTTCTACTTTCTCATATTTGAGCTGACAACTCAAAGACATTACAAACTCTGTTCCTTCCACCTCAGGCTGGGAAATTAGGACTTTCAATCAAATCTTTGCAGTCTAAAGGTATATTTTGGCAAGTAATATGGAATCTGTAGTTTAGCTATAGTGTTGCCACACCAGATCCTTGAAACAGGTATACTACCAAGATCTCCCAGACAGGATTTTCCAGAAATATCCAGATCTTCCGGGATCAGGAACAAAGTACACTTAAACTTTAAAACATTTTCGTAACCCAAATTAAAACATATTTGTATTCATCAATGTTATATTTATCCAAGTAATCCAAATCAACACTCATTCACTGGTTAGATCAGAGTTGGCCCCAGGACACTGCAATATGAAATTATCCAATTGGTCTTGAGCTATCTGATGTTGTACCGTGAAACACAGAAACAGCATTGAACTGGATGTCAACTACTACATGCTCTAAAAAGAATTTTGCATCTACTAAGATAAAACTATAATCTTTGTAATCTCCTTCATTCTCATAAAAAATATTAAAAGGCCAGCCGAGCCTGGTGGCTCACGTCTGTAATCCTAGCACTCTGGGAGGCTGAGGCGGGCGGATTGTTTGAGCTCAGGAGTTCGAGATCAGCCTGAGCAAGAGCAAGACCCTGTCTGTACTAAAAAAATAGAAAGAAATTAGCTGGACAACTAAAAAATATATATAAAAATTAGCCGGGCATGATGGCGCATGCTTGTA